TCTGCTTTTCCAACCCACTGGATCTCCAAGACAGACTAGAAATTTGAAACAAATGGGTAAGGAAAGTAAATACTATGGTAGAAACGTGGCCTAAAAATGTGGTCAATGCAAGCTCCTCTACAAATTCATCATCTTCAAAGGATTACAAACAATTACATTTATTTCACTTTCTTTCGCGTCTTGCAGTGAAGGCTTAGCTAGCTGACGGTGATTCAGATGTTTCTTGCTTGAATATCACTGTGCACAGAAAATTATCTCCAGGTAAGACAACAGCGATCCACAATGCTGAGAGTGGTAACTCAAGAGGCAATAATACATAGAAATATAAAGAAGATGTCTGCTTTAGTGCTATTATGCCACTTGCTATTGAAAACGATATGATTTGTGAGACTGCCTACAGAATAAATATTCAACCTAAAAAAAGCACAACGTTGGTCATCTCTTAACTACTCTTCAGTTTTTATTCAAATGTATTACATTTCTTCCAATGTGTAAAATTGAATAAAAATTTATTTTTCTCGTTTGATTCTCCCGTCATAAAAAACAAAATCCCAAGACTTCCATATTATAGACTATCAATGTCTTGGAGCATGGTGTGTCAAGAGCTTTTGACCAAAAATAGGATAATAGTAAACACCAATCTATAAGGCAAGTTATAATGGGCATTTTTTCCCTTTTATTTGATAATATGTGATATAGTATGTCATGATCACATCCCTTTTCTAACAAATTACTGTTAATATATACAGCTGATGGGTCAGCTATATATACTTTTCTGCATGGAAAATTTGTATGCATTTCTGAACATAAGTTCCTATATATCTGATACTAATTCACAATCCAACTAAAGTAGAAATATTGTAGTAGGGTTTCACTGTGTAAGGAAGGTCCATAGAAGTGTTGAATTCTTCAGATATACATTTCTGATCCTAGATAGAGCACAAATGTGCATCTTTCGTGTACATGATTTAACATTACATACTATTTTAATAACACTGTTGAACACTAGAAAATTTTCACCAGGAGTTCCTCTAAATCAATCATCAATCTCATTGACCTGCTTTCTCTTAGGTCAAACCCACAAATAAATAATCCCCAATACGATTAAACAGATTCGACTCATAGCGGGATATAAAAGAGGATGGTTCAAGGTTTTAAACTTGCCTAGTAGTAGCAATTTTCTGAGTGGGCTGCTATCTATTCTTTGCAAAGTTTTGCCCTCGTAGAAATCTATTCCAAATCAAAGGAAGTCACTACGGTAAGAAGGGTTACCAGCAACCTTTTTACGCTGAAGAGGTATCACTGAAACTAAGAAAACTGGCGAGTGGAACAAAAGAACTAAGAGAAGCATTCACCCCCTCTAGAAAAAAATAAACTATCAAAATCCATTGTACTATATGTCACAATATAATAATGCATTAAAATACATTATTATACGATTCTGAATAAGAGTTAAGTTTTTTCCTCATCTGCATTGCAGTCATGTAATTGTCAGTTGCTAATTACTAATTTTGTAGAAGGATTGTAGCAAACAGCTCTGCCTTTCCCATACACAGCTTTATTAACTGGCTCTGCTCTAAGTGATAAAAATTATTCCTGATCAAACACAAAGCTCACCACTGACACATCTGAAGTCCACTGCCTCAATGATATGCAGAGGTCTCCCATGAAAGCATTTCCATTAAAACAATGGAACTGGTATCCCTTTCCCCACCAAAGTTCAGGGTATCAACAGAAGCATGAAGTTTTGAATGACCTACGACAAAGGGCAGAATAAGGCAGGGAAGTGGATGTTAGCCTTTCGGAGAGGCAACAGCAGAGCAGCAGCAGTTCCAGCTCCTTAATTCCATTGAGTTCCACATTCTCCAGGTCAATTTTTTAACCACTTCCCAGAGTGGTTGGCATATGAAAGCCATCACATGCATTGCACGTGTTCACCCAACCCTGTTCCACTTTCATATAAAGGAAATTTTGCCAAAGACAGTGTCTCAGCTAGAGTTTAGGCAATCAATCGCTGGTTTGCCACACAGCACCAGCCTGAATGAGGCACATGTCTGAGGTGCCCAGCAGGCCCTTCATTACTGCTGAACTGCGTTTAACCTAGCTTGCTCTGTTTGGTTTACATGCCCCAATCCCAGCTGATATCTTAGGAGCATAAGTAGATTCTCTGTACTTTCACAACAATATTTATTCTAAAATTATTTCTAAGAAGGGAAAATAAAAGCTGAGTTGTGAGAAATGCAGTCTTGCAGAGTTGAGAGTTGCCATTTCTGTTTGTTAACTAAATATAATTCAATACTACTACTACTACAACATTTTGTTAGGGCACTTTGTATTTTTATCACAACAAAGATGCCTTTGTCAGGTCTCTAAAACAGTTGTCCAATACATGAGATATTTGAAGTGTTTCCCACAAATACAGCTAGGCACTCACAGACCCCAAATTTTAAACAATGTGAGTATTTGTTATATGCCACAGTATATATACACATTTGGCAGTAGCCTATTGCATTACATATAAAATATCATAGTAGTCAAAAGAATTTGTAACAAGGCTTCCAAATAAAATTTTTCACAATTGGACATAAGCTCATACTTTACTTACTATTTTACAATGACTTATAATGAAATACATCCTGCTTGCCCAAAAATGCTTCTGTCTAAAACAGAAGATATTTGAAAGGTCATAAACACTTGGTAGCAGTAGGACTGCAGACGCCCGCTTGAATGTTTTCACTCAAGATAAATAAGGCTGTAGCAGCTGCTGCTTGCAGCCCCAGGCCCATGCCCTATATCAATCAAATACACACAAACTTGTTTAACTGGAAGAGTCTAGAATTTTTATTTTTTATTTTTATGCTAACAACTATAAAACATGGCAACTTTTCCCCTCAGCTTAATAGAACAAATATTTCAGGCACACCCTTACTTAGCATCATGGGTCCTCCAAACAAACTTCTGTGGGATAGATTAAAAATGACACCTTACTGAAGAATGTTTTATATGTAGACAAAATAAAGCAAAACTTTCACCAAAATGCTTTCATTCCCCACACTTCCTATGGCATCTTGCCTAGCCAATCACCTCTACCCACAATATTTCTGGGCTTACTACAAATATGAGAAAACGCCACAAAAAAGTTTTAAGTTTCAATTAATTCTTTATTTTTGAAACTTTTTGCACTAAAGAATGCAAGTACCATTTGGACTGAGTGTCTCTGTGACTGCCATGCTTCATGGCTGACTAAATTGATTTCACATGGTAGCTAAACCTAAGAGCACAAAGGAACAAATTTCATAATTCTCTTCTGGAAACACTGAAGTATGTCTTTGGTATGTGAATCATTACTACAGTGAAGATCAAAGAAGTGACTCTGGGGGGTAGACCCTTTAGGAAAATGAGAACTACTGCAGAGACACTGGGGCACATCTCTCCAAGTCGCACAAATCTGTAAACCTTTGATGCTTTTGTACTAGGTTTGACATACTATAGCTACTTATATAATTGGTTATGGTGGTTCTCCATGAACAGCTATTATTGGAAAGGAACAAGGGATAATCAATAGGAAAGGGAAAATCAGACCTATTTCCCCCCACACACTTCATTTTTAGCATGAGATTTAGATTCATTTTAGTATGAGAACACTTAACATACTGTACTGCATACATGAAAGTCAAATGAAGAAGAAAATCAGCGAAGTTTATGCATTCCAAATTTAAAAAAAAGCTGAAATGTTCTCAGGCTGGCAGGAAAGATACTATACACTACTTAACAAAATTGCTAGCTTATAGAGACTGAAACAAAACCTGTACTGGCAAGGGATTTATTTTTTTTTATTTTACTTTTTTAAAATAAAAGCTTAGGGATACTTCATGATTTTCTACTCTCAGTGTCTGCTGAAGAGCTAAGAAGAAGGTTATACTGGAATAACTTGGAGACTATTAGCTTTTTCATAGGAAAGCTGCAGAGTCATCATATGGCCTTGCTGCAGCGAGCACCTGTCCTGTGCTACATTTTACTGAACGAAAGCACAGGAGAATGGGAACACACAAGCAATGAAGACCAAAATCTCTTCTAGTGAATCTGTTTTCACAGCTGGAGACAGAGTGCTTACTATTCTATATACAGCATCACTGAGCTTAGGAACTCAAGTGGGCAGTGTTAAATTGCACAGTAAAGCAATTTAAGCAAATGACTAATCTAAACCCGTAAGTTTCATTCCTCCTTTGGCCTTTTAAAAAGTGGCTTAAAAACATAAAACATCAATCCTCTCCCATTATAACAAAGAAAAACCAGAAGATGAAAAAATTCATCTTAAAGCAAAATCAAGGCAAATACAAACAACAAGGCAGTTTACTAAGTTGTGCCAAGCTACTTGCACAGTTGTTTGATCAGGATTTGTGGCACACAAAAAACAGGACATGTTTTTAATTTCCAGAAGGCCAAAAAAAAAAAAAATTTACTATAAGAAATATTTTTTTCCTAGCTTCTTGGTACCTTATCTGCTAAGTCAGTATCTTGATTGGAATCATCATAAGATTTCCATAGTCTTAGCTACTATTACATTACAATACACATTTTGAAATCATGTAGAAGCGCACACGTGTGTACAATATACTTAGAAGGTGTCAAAGTATTTGTTTGTAAAAACAGAGTGTGTGAAGAATTCTTTATGCAGCAAGGTCTCAGCCAACTAAATTAACACGAACAATTAATTTGCCATTTGAATGTTCTGATTTTTAAAAATCTTTCCAGATGACGTAACACTGAATTAAGAAACATGTGTGACATTAGGATCTCAAAATATTACACTGGATGTAATCATAACTGAGAGCAAAGTTACATTAGATTAGAAATAGAGATGATTAGTGGCTTGCTCCAGAGAAACGCAGAACATTCTAGCACTAACAATGGAAGTGCTTCTTGTTGCCTCAAATCTAGAAGCCTTTGTAGGGCAATTCTGTATTTTACTAGCATAGTATACTCGGCATCATACTTACTGTGGTGCTGGCTGTTGCAGGACCAGGGGTGCCACGACCCTCTTTACCAACAACCTGATTTTGTTCTTCAGGACCACGGGTGACAAGAATTCTGAAGTGCTGCTGCCTCGTGTTTTGATCTGGTCTGATTTTAAACAAGCATCCCTGCCCTTGAGGAATCCGCTCTACTGAATTGCTTCTAGATATTTCTGACCCATTCCTGCCATTTCCATGCAGTTCTGAATTCAATCCATCATCTGTGGGGCTAATTTCTTCTGTTGGCGGCTGGACAGGGTAAGAAGTACTCCTTTCTAGCCGTATCCGAGGATACCTGACCAATCTGTCCCCTTTTGATCCAGTAAAACCAAAGTTACATTCGCCTGCCGCACCTGTACCACTTGTCTGGGGTTGCTGTAACTGGAGAACAAAGAACTTTTTCCCTGAATTTGCTGACATATCTGGCACATGTTGCAAAGACCAACGCCGGGGTTCTGGGGTGGGAGCATTATTCTGAGCCTCAGTACCGAAGGGTAGTAGAGTAACCTGAGGCACGTCTGCACTTGAAGCCCGATGCTGAATCCTCACACCACTTATGTTTAAACCTGAAGCTGCTTCATTTGCCTCATCTTCTTGGGCAGTTGATGAAGCATCCTCAGTCTGGTTATTAGAAGGAATAGTACAAAATATTCTACGATTACAGCAAATAGTTCCATTAATCTGTTGCCCTAACTCTTCTGTCAGCCTGGGTGGAGAATTTTCAGGAGTCACCTCTGGACTGATCGGAGAAGAAGAATGGTTTTCAACAGGGGGTGCATAATGCTCCCTGAAGTCAGAGAATTTACAAGGAAGTGTCTCCTCAGGAGATTCCAGGGTTGCACACTCGTCCGCGCAGCCATTCGCAGCTTTGCGCTGAAGAGAGATCTGCATTGACGAGCTTCTTGTTGGACGCACATCAATACTGTTCAGCAGCTGGGGAATAAACATGGATGTACTCCTTTTTAAGGAGCCTACTTCTTGCAAATCACCGCCACCACCATAATCTGCTCCGTGTCGGGAGAAAGCGTGAGGACTGTTTCTTCTTGGCAAAGTGTGGAATGCCATGAAAAAGTCATCTTCTCTCTCCCGGTCGAGGATCTCTGATTCGGGGGCTGTGTTGCTTCGCCCAGAGCCAAAATGAAACCGCAGCCGATGGGCCATGGTTTTACAGAGAGAAGAAAAGGAGAGGGAGAACAGCAACAATTCAGGCACTGCCAGAAGTTAAAAACCAAAGACATAAACTCCAAGAAAAAGTGTCCCATCTGCCAAACTGTTAGCACTGCAGCCCTGATAGCGACAGATAGCAGAAATAGCCCAAGTGGCAAGCAGCATTCCAGGCATGATTGGGTAAGAGCAATCAGTGCTCCTACACAACTGTGACATAGGGTAGGATGGTGGGAGTCACGTGGCCTGGTTCCCCCTCTCCAATGTAAGCTAGCGGGGGTTTTGTTTTTTCTTTTTTTTTTTTTCAATGCCAGCAAGAGCCTGAAACAGCACCTTCACAGCTGCTCCTTTTCCATCAGAGAGGAGCGGCCCCAGCAGGAGAGCTCTCACAGCTGACTAAGGCAGCAGACACACTCGGCACTGCTATAAATCTAAACCACATCATATTCACAAGGCACATTTGTATAAAGCACACACACAAAAATTTAACTACAACAAAAACACTTCAATATAGCGTTAAAAGTTTAAGTCAACTCCACATGCAAATGAGAAAAATTATTTCAAGCTTAGCGTTTTGGTGTGTGTTACAGCATTAGGCTATCATGGCAGAACATGAATAAATATAGCACGGTTATGCTTTCAATTTTAACTGTGCTCATAACATGATTAAGCAACAAACTTCTTGCCTTTAAAAAGCCACAACTTTTACATTGTCCCTATGAACGCAATATAACCTACACTACCCTGCGCAGTCCCTTTTAGTAATTAAAAATTACAACAAACAAAGCAATCGTACATATGGCAAAGATTTCTCACACAATAAAAACAGCAGAAATGTGCAAGATGGCAGGAGACAAAGTTTCTTTTTCAGTTTTACCAGGCAGTAAAGACGAGTGAAAACCGGAGACGGGTGTTGCATGTCGTTTTGTACCGATTTGTCTTAAACACCGTACAGAAACTCTGCCCATTGCTGGCCAGCCTCCAGTGAGAAAGTTAGCAATATTACCACGAGTGTGATTGCCAGCACGGAATACAGTTACGTGCTCTGAGAGCCAAAAGACCTCAGAAGAAGAACAGACAGACAGGATACACCAAAACGTAAACCAAACACCCTATATCAGCTCTATCACAACACAGAAACTCAGTGGTCTGAGGATACTCACATTTGAAGTGTGCTCACAACAGCACTTGTTAACACATACTAGAAAAGAAACTCTGTTTAGCAAGAAGCGTAGCTTCATTTCAATACATGGACATTTGTTCCCTAAGAGAACTTGAAAGCATAAGTTTTGTCAACAGCTCTGAAAATTTGTAGGTGGAGGGTCAATACTCTATCTAGACATTTAAACCTCTGTTTGCAAGCAGCTTGTTTTCAAAAGACAGAAAATGACCAATCACAAGAGAAATGGAAGCTTAAAACGATATAACTGCCAACAGACAGCACAATCCCCTATTGTTTTAAGTGGACTATGAGCCAAAAAGAAGAAAAACATGAATAGCTTCTACACAGCAACAGTACTGTAGATTGCCTTTTGGAAGCACAGATGTTGATACTATTTTATCTTATTTCTCAGATAAAGCATATTATCCAAGGACACAGTCTCTCCTTGCACCAAAGATGAAGCTTGCATCATACATTCTCTATTTTGATTGGGGGATAGGAGGGGGAAGGACGTACTGCAAAGACAGAAAGTGCTTTGGTAATTTGGGAACATGAAGAAGAAACAAAGTTCTTGCAAGAAAAGCCATGCAAGTATTGACAATAAGTATTTCAGAGTAAAGCCAAAATAATCAGTTCAATGTCTCCTCATTCTGTAAACATAACCTGATGGAAATCTGCTACTCTAAAAACCCCAATGTACTTGCTTTGTCAATAGCTCAGAACACCTTCTGAAAGGAAAGCAATGGCTCCTAAATCACAGGTTGCTGCCTTTGCAAGGTGGTTATGAGCCCCAGGGCAGACTGTCTACAGAAGTAGGATCACAGAAGAACAAACAGAAAATGGCTCAACAATAAAGAAGTACCGAAACTGCCAGTATAAGGCCAGTACTGCATACAGAAACTTAAAAATCTTAAGCAATGTATCTGAAATGAGTATACCAAAATCGTCATTTCTCAGCTGTCACTGCGTACAGAATTTTTCTCCTGAACCCTACCCCATTAGCGTCCACAGGGACATCCCTGTGCATGCCACTGCCCTCTGCAGGCCAGAGCCAGGACTCTTCCACGAATTCTGCTTTGTCCTCCATGCCAACGCACCCCAACCATCCCCCAGGACACACGCAAGCCACGCAGTAATGTCAGCACAGTCCTGAGCCTGGGCTTACATACTCTGCCTCACAATTACACTTACAGGATTTCTGCATCAGCTGGCAATGGAAGAGGACCTTAAAGCTGGGAAGAACTGACCCATCATCTCCTTTAAGTTCAAAAGATACAGGACAGTTTTAATAGTGCAAGTGGTCATTATGATCATTATATGTCAACAAATATGCTCACAGTCAGCCCACTCTAAATATACACTGTCACAGACTTACCGATTTACTTCCTCTTAAAGGAGGATATAATCATTTGGCTATAAGTTCTTTTTTCCCCCAGAAGATTACAGCTTGTATGTTTTTCTTTGCTCTATATTTAATAGGAAGACAGAGGAAAAGAATGTATATTTTGAAGACATGTTTCCATACTGGGTTTTGTTGAATAAAAGGATCTTCACAAAGCAAACAAGTTTAGTAGAGATTGTACTGCACCCAACCAAGAAAATGTAATACCTGATCTCACAAACAAAGAGATGGTGTTACAATTTTCAAAAGACAAAAAACCAAAAAAGTAATTCACCCAGTATGTCACTGCACTGGCATATTTAACCTACTATGCTCAGAATGACAGTGTCACTTATTCCACGTATGGCTCTCTGAAAACCCTTTCTTTTTAACCATAACAAAGCAAGAAGCAGCAAGATGTTGGAAGACTTCTCTAGAAGAGCTACTGCATCAGCCAACTTAAGTTCAAGACTAAAAACTCTAACAACATGCTAGACATTATGAGGCAGAGAACTGAAAATGTAAGAGAGCATTATTTTGCCATTACCTTAAGCCTTCATGCACCCACATCTTGAGTACAAGATGCAGCTCTAGTAACTACATCCCAAAAAAGGATGCAAAAGTATTAAAAGGTACAGGAAAGAGACAGTACAATGATCAGAGGATGAAGCAGCTGCTTTGTAAGTGACTAAAAATGCTGGGACTTTATCAGTTTGCACTGGAGAAGCCTAAGGAAGAATATGATGAGGTTTTCACTGTCAGAATACTGGGTTAAGGAGGACCATTTTGGTCTGACCAGGCAGGGTACTACTTCTGTGTTTAATGCTCTGACTATTAGTCCCAAAACCAGATGCTTTTTATGCTTCTATCTGCATTTCTTAGCACACTTACTTAAAAAACAGACAAAAATACACCTTTAAGATGTGCTATATTTTCATCAGCTGTGTTACACAGAGCCTTGTGATTAGTAAAACACAATCAAGACAAGCACTCACCAATCTGTTTTCATCAAACACTTCAAACAGGAGACGATGATTGGTTGGGTTTACCTATGAGAAAATTCAAATAATGTCACTTTAGGTTTATTACCTTGATGGTAACAATATATGGGTACCAGTTCATACAGTGATTAAACCAAGGCAAACAGAACATGACTAACAGGTTTTATGTAAATCTTCAGTTTTACTTAAACAGGAGCACTAGAACACTTTGTTTCTAAACCCTACTGCAACTAGAAATAGCCTAGCAGTTAACATTAAAAGCTTTCATTTACTGTGTTCAATGCAAGACAGTTACTGCGTTTCTCTTACTACAGAAGGCTCCGAAGAGGAAAGGCATGGCTGCTGCATACCGCCGGGCTGCATGCAGCCATACGGCCAAGAGGAATTTGAAGAGGACATCCCTGTGCAAATCACGGCTGCTTCTCTCTCATGTCATCCCCAGTATGTGCTGCATCCAGGAAGGGCTAATGGGGTGGGGGCTTCAGCTGCCTTGAGCACACCAGCAAAGCTAGCTTGGTCTCAGGAAAGGTAGCCCGGCCAAAGTGACAAGTTCTGTGTTTTGGGAACAAGTCCCAGGCTAGACAGACTATCAGGGCTCACAGATTTTTTTTTTGTTCTACAGCTGCAAAGCTCAACTAAAATGTAGGGAGCAAGAGTTTTACTGTATTTCTTTCAGAATTTCACCATCATCTGTATTTTAGACTGTCTATCGCTCACCATTTCTAGCCCATTTATCACACATGCCTGTGGAAAACCCAACAGAAGTCTCTCCAACACTTGAAAACAGCAACTATACCTCCAGAAAATTATTTACACTGAAGTAAATTTAAGCAGAAAGACTGCCAACATTTAAAAGGAAAAAACAAACAAACAAAAAAACAACTCTGGCAAGAAGACAAAGCAGCCGCTATTAAACAAGAAACAAGTTCTACAGTATTTGATCCACTTGATATATTTTTTCAGAAAAACTTTGTAAGCCAGGTTACTATGTCCAACTTGTTTAATTAAGAAAATTTAGAAACAATATTCCACAATGGACTGACAGTTCTGTAGGGGTGGTGATGGACTTCCCAGTTTTGAGAAAATCAGAGAATTGTGACACACAAAAAAGGGTATGCATTACTTTATATATTCACATTATTGTTTAGGATTTTCAGGATGTCTTAACAGAGCTTCTATGAACTATGTCTGTAATTTAAACAACACAATTGTGGCAGTTTTGTGTATTCTCTTTTCCCGGGAAAAGTAAATTATTAAAAAGGTTACCTTGAATAATATCAGTTAAAAGTATTAAGCACAAACGTACATAACAAGTTTGCTTAAGCCTGAGTAAATATATTTCACTTTAAAACGTGTGAATTTGTTCCTTAGTCTGTCTTACAACTCAGCATGTTTATGAGACCAGTATTCATAAACATGGGCTTATGGAGGTGAGGTCACCGATTTCTGAATCACGTATGCAGTTGGGACCAAATTTGGGACAGCTTGAAATGTCTTCAGATAGATAAATAGT